TCATCAGGATTAACTGAGGGGAATTCAACGAACATCATTATCACGCCCATCTTTGCCTCTGTCTAATTAAGTAAACACGACCATAAACCCAACGTCTGCCAGGTCTTGAGATGGATTGCTGCAGTAGAAGTACATGGTATTAGGGCAATTATATAGTGTACTTGAATGAGATAAGAATCTGAATGGCGCAAAAATGAAATGAATTCGGCCTTTCTTAAAGATGTAGAGAGAAAAATATAAAATATTAGTAAAAAGAAGAGTGAGAATAGCAATTTAAGTTGAGAAAAACTCTTTCATTATAATTATGAACTAAAATAAATAGAGAACACATTCAAACTCAAAGAAATACAAATTCAACACGTTTAAGATACAGTTTTATCTTCTCTTATACAACATTTGATGGCATAACAAAATATGATGTTGCAGAAAATTTGAAATTGAGAAATAGAATATCATATCATAAAAGAGACTAATATTTTCAGACACAAGAAGCAGAAAATATAACTACGCCATTATTTACATGTATTTAGATAAGCTGGAGCAGTGATCTCCACTTTCCAGCAAGTAAATAAAAATGTAACAGTGACAAAAAAAGGAAATATACGAAATTCTTCCAATCAAATAAGCATGTAGTGTAAAGTAAGATGAGAACCGAAGTCATGGTCAAAATTACCTCAACCTTGGTTTGAAATTCTAATCTGCTTCCACAAACATGACAATCAGCTCTATGCGGGGAATGATAGGATTTCTCTGCTTTCAGGAAAGCAAACACCTGAAGGTAATATTGTTAAGATCTATAAAATTCATCCATTTCAGTACAAGGAAATACGATTTAACCCTTCATCAATGGAATCATATCAAATAACTTCTAGAAATATTTGTGGAGATGTGAGAAGCTAGTTCGTAGTTACCTCCTCACCACAGTTTGGGCATGCCCCTTTCAGAGCTACCAAGTCATTTTTCCAAAGTCCTTGAAGTGCTCCAACTGTGATTAGTTATCTTAAGTTATAACTGTACTTGGGATGCATTGAAGAAATAAATTCTCAAAAACTATGGACAGCGTTGCTTCTAGACATGGTTAAACAATCACATTTACACTGGCGATCATCACCAAAACAGTACAACATGGAGGAAAGTAATAGAAAATATATAATTCAACAAACACCATTTCCTAACAGTAACCTTCTTGATGAAATTATTGCAAACCTGACTCTAGTACCTAATTATGCAACAGTACCAACCTGATGCAAAATTAGAAGGGGAACGAAGTTACAAAACTATTAAGGATCAATCTTAAACTAAATTTTCCTCTCCAATTCTTGACAAGATGTGATTGAGCTTTCCCATTTTCAATTCTAAATTTCTTTTAGATGCTTAAGATCCTTTTGTGCACACATAGATGGAGGTACTCTCATACAGTTATTCTCCACCTTTTGATGAAAACACTCATTTGCAAAGACCACAAGTGTATTTCATCTAAAGAAAGGCAGACCATTTAGAGACTGAAAGATCCAAAAGGATAAGATATCGTTTATTTTTTCCTTTGATGTCAATCAACCTGAGCAAAAAAGCGTAGATAGCAGCAGGTAAATTGAGATGGATAAAGAAAATCATTTTCTCTTCATAAGTAGCCCTTTCCTATTAAGGAACTAAAAGATGCTTATAATGCTCACCAAACTTATATTACTTGCACTAGAACTCCTAACTAATGAACACCAAGAAAACCAAAGAAAAATGATGTCAATGGAAGGGTAACAAACATGATTAAAAAAATAAAGTTAAATATTGTTGAATTAATATTTCTAAAAGCACATCTAAGTAATTTATATATCAGTATGAGGGTTTATGTCAAACATTTATAATGATTAAACTTGAGAAATGAAGGTTCAAGAAAGAAAACTCATTACCTGAGGCCGAAGCAATTGGAAAGCCTATGATAGATCCCAACACCATAAAAAGGATTCCATTGAGAATGGTAAACAACTCAAAAGATTGATCAGTGTAGGGCATTCCTGATTCAAATGTGTCTTGATAAGCTTGAACGATGGTGCAGATTAAAGGCACAATCAAGAATGAACTCCCAAATCCAAGAATCAACAACCATACACTTGCTAATGCAAACACCTGTGAAGGATCTTCCTGCCCTACATCCACATTAATCAATATTCAAGTGTAGGACGATAGATTGGTCTACAAGTAGAAAAACTACTCCAGGATGAAAAATTCTTCTTCTAGGGAATGACACAGCTGAACTAGATTTGCAAATAGCACTGTGGGGTAAGTAATGTACGTATACATCCATAATGTTTTCTTTCTCCTTTTTCCATGGAAGGTGCAGAGACTTCATCTACGGAGGACAAATAATAGGTCCAAGGGCAATATCAATCAAATAGGATTTAGTGAAGACATACAAAGCACAAGCAAAGTCGATGGATCAAGTTTGGTATATGATAAGCTATAGACTTAAATATATCAAACAAGTTACTGATTTTAAAAAAAAAGAACAAAAAATTAGAAAAGAAAATTAAGGTAGAGAGTTTATAACAAGGTGCAATTTTAACGTAAATTTAAGATACTTCCACTTGGAGTTTGAAGAACTCATATTTACAGTATTCTAAAAGGAATGGAAGAAATATTCCAAACAGAAATAGTTCTAACCAACAAAGTTAAAGAAAAAATTCAAATGGATACCACAATAACAAATTCATATAACCTATGTATAACACAGTAGTATTACAATAACCAATTCATATCACAGTAGTATCACCTCTGCGTCAGCATAAGTTGAGTGCCGCCTGAGACTACAACGGGGATACTTGACTACATGCTTTGAACCATACCACCGCAATCTTAACTGTAGTACAAAAAAAAATACTGTGCATGAGGATCAGAACATAAAAGAAAAGTTCAAGCTATCAACTATATTGAGAAACTTACCTCTACTTTGTCAAACATATCATCAACTATTAAAGGCATTCCACTGTAATAAGCATCACGTGCCTAAGAGAAAGCAGAAGTACAAAATCAGAGAGCAGAAGGACAGTGGGAAAAAGGAAAAAAACTGGGAAAAAGAAATCAAGTTTCTCTGTGTTACCACTAATCTTTATAGCACAAGAACTTACAGGAAATTTTCACAAACACTACCTACTCATAAATCCTTGTTGAAATGCATACAGTTTATAAGGCCGGGTTTTTGGCCAAGGACTAAAACTGACCCATCATGAACTAAAAATCACACAGACAGACCTCATATATACCACTCGCATCTTCTTTAGCTCATCAAATTATCAAAAAATTCAAACAACAAATACAAAGTACAAACATAATTAAGTACTCGAAAAGCATCAGTAAGCTTTTAATCACTCAAACGTGCTTCTAGTTAGGTAGTGATTAAACTCAAGTGATTCAACACATGATAGGGATACTTTACATACTCCTCTGTCCCAATTTATGTGGTACAATTGAAATTTCAAGATTCAAACCTCTATACTTTAACCATGATTTCGTACATAGAAGCTTTAAGTTATTTGAATAGAACTCATATATTTGAAAACTACAATAAATAACAATAATTAACAAATTCTGGTCGAAAAAAAACTTGGTTGACTCTTGAAATTTCAATTGTGCCAAATAAACTGGGACAACGGAGAATTTAGTATGTGAACGTTTGAAGGCACATTTGAGTGATCATTTCTTTGATCAAGCAAAAAGCTCAAACACACCATACTCATAACTCATAGGATAATCAATATCGAGAGTTCTACAAGGTAATTTAGGCCGTGAATAGAAGTCAATGTTACTGATTCCATTGAATATTCAAACCAACCTTAATTTCATTAATAGTGAATATTACAAAGCTTCTTACAAGCCAAAAACCTTCCTAACAGTGAGATGAGCATTACCTGGCGGTAGAGGGCTTCTAAGGTTTCTTTGCTAGCTGTTTCAATAGGTCCGACGAAAATACAGGAAGGTGCTAGAGGTGCCTCTCGCTCTTCACAAGTGGATACACCATGGCTCCTGGAGGATATCCGTACCGGAAAGGAAGCTCCGGCGCGAGAGTCGCTTCTGCTCAGCTCGATTACAGTGGAACCGAGCACGCGGCGAGCGATGGGATACCACGCGCCGGCCATGAACCGGAAGGAAATGGTGGTTACGTGATGACAGCAGAGAATTTTTGAAGAAAGGAGTGGTCAGGATATTGTAAAATCGACGGGTAATTTTGGGTCTGGTTCGTTATGGCCACGAATTTGTGGTGTTTATAAAGGGGAGTAGAATGACGAAAATGCCCTCCTGTGGTCGTATTTTGATTTGCTAAAGTAAATATCTGGTTATTAGCCGCTGATATTTTTGTCATTAGTAGCAAGTGGGTCAATATCCTTTTCTGGACAGGAAGGCTGTGGAGTGAGGACACTAAAAACTCATTACGTAAAATTCAACATTATTTTTTTATTGATAAGACACACACCTCATTCATGTAGACTAATGATTTAGGAGTATTATTCTAATTTTAAGTGAAGAAATCATTCAACCATCAACAACTCCTTCCGTTAATAATTTATTTAGTGTACTTTGATAAATTACAAAATTTAAGAAAATAATAAGAGAAAACGAAAAACTTTTAAACATATGAGACATGGTATCTGTTTGGTGGAACTTATGAGGCAAGAGGGTTAATTGAATTCCTTTCTTATGCTATTATATATTTTGTTATACTATAAAATATTAAATCTTGCTTATATATATAAGGAAAAGATTCTAGTATAATTGTAAAAAGGTCCAAAAATTGCTTTAGGCTACAAATAAAATTTTTAGGTGTGACATTTAAGTATTTCTTTGAATCTTTTGTATGAAATTTTGTACGTAATTTATGTTATGAGATTTGTGACTATAAAAGCTTGTTAAATTTGTAGTGGCTTTTCTTGAGCAAGTCCTAAATTTTTTAAATCAACACAAATAGTTGGGGCAGAAAATAGCAATGAACCAATGATATGGCGCCACGTTTTCCAGAGAAATACGTAGATGGAGAAGGTGGTCCCACAAAGCCATGGAAATCGTCACTTTATTACGGTTAAAATTTGATCATCACTCACAGTAAGCGCCATTTCCTGTTCCTCACTCTTCCAATACACAAACTCAATTAACACTCAAATCTGCTTGAGGAGCTCATCTTTGTAGTAGTAGTATTTGATACTGGTTCTCGCTTCAATCAGCTTCATCAACAAGTTACGGTTCCATTTCTCTTTGAACTCGACAAATTTTGCTTAATTGCTTCATAGATGATATATTCAAGTTTGAAATTGAGGTTAGGGTTTCTACAGTTGCATTGATGAATCGCCTTTGCTAAGCTAATTATTTCTGCTCCTACATTTCGTTTTTTGCTTGATGAAGTTCTAATTATGGATATTTTGCGTATCTTCTCTTTTAGTTCGTGAAACTATTTTTTACTGGATGTTTGTGTGTGTATGTATTAGTCATGGAAAGATATAGCTATCATTTTGATAATTCACAGTTGTTTGATCTCTGATAATTTAGTTTCGGATGACGATGACACTGCTTTTCTGATAATTAATGAGATGATGAATAAACTAGAAGCAACTAAAGTTGTCCCTGAAACTATATGTTGGCTAACTATGTAGATAGAGATAACGAAGGGGATGTAATGGAAGAAGATGTTATGGGTAACAATGAAGATACTGCTGGTATAGACAAAGATAACAAAAGAGACTCACTGGGTAAAGATGAATATGAAGGAAATGACGAAGAAAAGAATATAGAAAAATTGGAAGCAATTACAAATCAAACGACCAAAAAATCTATGAAAGGGAATACACGGAAGAGAAAGGCAAATGAAAACCCTGAAGGAAAGGGTGAAATTAAGCAGGTTCTGAAGAAAGTAGCTTCTGAAGGCAAGGTTAATGAGTACTGTGGAAACTTGGCGCACAAAGGTGACAATGATCAGGATTCTAAGGCAACAGAAATGGGAAATTTAGTCTCCACATGTGATGATGAAAGCTCTAAGAAGGTTACCCCTGGAGATGAAGCTAAGATGAGCCCTGAGAAATTGTCTAGTGAAGGCAGAGACATTCCTGAGCAGGTTGATAGCATGGGTATGATATTCATGTGCAATTCTGAGACAAAGAAGGACTGCTATGGGTACAAGGTTGTGGGACTCCCAGCAAACAAGAGAGAGATGGTTGAAAAAGTTTATAAAGGGATGAAACTCTTTCTATATGACGTTGATTTGAAATTGATGTATGGGATCTACAAAGCTGCAGAAAATGGCGGTTTTAGCATTGAACCCAAGGCATTTAAGTCTCAATTCCCATCCCAGGTATGTTAGTTGTGCTTTGAGTCCCTTTGAACTTCACCTTTTTACTTCTTTATGATTTGTTTGCTTTGAAGAACGTTGCTAGTCATAAAATGCAAAAGCAAAGTTGGTTTTGACCAATAATTGAAATGAGCTAACAACATCTCTGGGATCTGTAGAGGTTAATTTATAAGACCTCAAATACATTATCAACAAGGGTAACATTTAGCTGCTGTGTTTTTCCACCTGTTCCAATTCTGTGCAAAATCCCTCCTTCCTTATCTATTGTCTCTGGTGTTCTCCTCCTTGGACTAATGATTGTTTTACTGACTGATGGGAAGATGAGTAATTGAAGGAAGTTGAGAGTTCTTGAGAAGGGATTTCGCACGGTAAATTAATTCTATGCGTTTGTTGACATTGTTACTTTACAAAATCAGTCATGAAGATAAAATTACAGTCAATTTTTGTTGAGGTACTGTATTTTCTTTCAGTAGGCTGTGACTTATAATATCTGTTAATTTCCTTGGCAAAAACAGTGAGAGGAGGTAAATTTCAGCTTCTATGTATGCTTTGTAAACACTTAACGAGGGAATGTCTTGAATGGTTTTCAATGTTTGATTCTCATATCTGCGATGGTTTGTTAGTGGCTAGTAGCTATTTGTATGGACCTTAGATTCTTTTTCTATACAAAAAAGAAGAAGTTATGACATAGGCAGTTAGGCACAAAGCCAACGGAGGAAAGATGATAAGCTGAATTTGATTGGTTAGAAATGCTGAACTTCTTCCATTTTATTTGAAGAAGGGGGAAAGATTAAATTTGGTTGTGGTGCCTGCATTTTATATCATAGGACATACGAGGAGACCAAAGCAACATGCAATTTAATTTAACTGCATTATGGCTCAGAAGAGACAGGTTAATTGATGAAGAGCAATTTTGATTCTTGTATCCTAAATATCTTTCTGTGAGTTTGTTGTTCAAGTCATAATAGCTATTTATGTCACTAGAATCGGTGCAATTAATAGTCAAAGCAAGTATAATTTGCTTCCAGTTTAGCACTATGACTTCAAATTAGAGATATCAGCTTTTATTTTCTTGATAGGTAAAGATTGTAAATCTATAGCGAAGGCATCAAAAAGGGCCACCTGTTGTATGCAAACAGTATGAACAAGAAGACAAAAAAGGAGTAGAATTCAAACTTTTAGGATGAAGCATGTACATAAGTTTTTAGCATATGAGTGACTCTTAGGGGCTTCTTTTTTGTTATATTTTGTGTGTGTATTTTGATATTGGGGTGAAAGGTGGGGAGACTAGGAGTACGATGGATGGGATTTACGGAGTTATCCTTCATTCGGTTTCTTTGGAGTGGAATACTTTGTCGAGTAAGGGCTGGTGGTGGTTTTGGGTTCTAGAATTGTATTGGTGCTTATGTTTAGTGCAGTTCATGGATATGATTGTTTGAATGCCCTCTTTGTCTTAACTATATGTTTGATGATTTCAGGTTCGTTTTTCCATTGTTGATGATTGCTTACCATTAGCAGAGGAGAAATTTAGGGAAGTGATTAAAACAAACTATTACACGAAGACAAAGTTTGATTGCAAATTGACCTCTGAACAGGTATCTGGACATTGTATTTGCATTTATTGGAAATCCTTAGATTTGTTTGGATGGTGATGATATTTAAGTTTCCTGGTGGATCATGACAACATTTTGTGTGTATTTGTTGCAAATCAATAGGTGAACAATTTGTGTAAGCTTTTCATTTCTGCTAGCAAAGCGTCGGGTATACAACTCAAATCAGAGACCAGTACTATGGACAAGACGAGTTTAACTAAGGGGCGGCACATGGATAAAAGTAGACAGCCTGAACATGTTCGACAAACTAAATGGATGGAAGTGCCTAGGTACCACTCACATCCACATATGCTGGAAAGGGATGTAGTTACAACTCCATTGCTGCCATTAGCTTGGCCTCAAAATTCACTACCACTTCTTGCTGGTCAATCACATAACAGAACTTTGGAAAACGGTGTTTATGGATGTGACACATTGACACATAATCGTGATACTTCCAGAGAGGGACGACTGGTGGAGCCTCATGATTCTTATAGGCGGGACAAACTGCTAAATCCTGATATTTACAGAGGAGAGGCTTTAGCAGTGCATTATGATTATCCCAGACAGGATGGATTAGTAGAGCATCGCGAATATCAGCTAGTAAATGTGGAAGCAGGACTCCAGGATGTTGTAAACCATCATCCCTATGCTTTATACTCTGAGAATTTGTCCTCCCAAGATCCTGTGTACTCGCCACATCCCACGTATAATCCTCCACCAGGCTTACGACCTGAATACCGTCTCGGTAGCCTATTAAATGAGTATAGTTCTACCAGAGGCATCCCTCCTGCGTACCATTCATCACCAAACTCTCTGCCCGCGTCCCATTTTCATCAACCCGTATACTCCCAAGATCCTGTGTACTCGCCACATCCCACGTATAATCCTCCACCAGGCTTACGACCTGAATACCGTCTCGGTAGCCTATTAAATGAGTATAGTTCTACCAGAGGCATCCCTCCTGCGTACCATTCATCACCAAACTCTCTGCCCGCGTCCCATTTTCATCAACCCGTATACTCCCAAGATCCTGTGTACTCGCCACATCCCACGTATAATCCTCCTCCAGGCTTACGACCTGAATACCGTCTCGGTAGCCTATTAAATGAGTATAGTTCTACCAGAGGCATGCCTCCTGAGTACCATTCATCTCCAAACTCTCTGCCCGCGTTCCATTATCATCAACCCATATACTCCCAAGATCCTGTGTACTCGCCACATCCCATGTATAATCCTCCACCAGGCTTACGACCTGAATACCGTCTCGGTAGCCTATTAACTGAGTATAGTTCTACCAGAGGCATGCCTCCTGAGTACCATTCATCTCCAAACTCTCTGCCCGCGTTCCATTATCATCAACCCGTATACTCCCAAGATCATCTGTATTCGCCACATCCCACGTATAATCCTCCTCCAGGCTTACGACCTGAATACCGTCTTGGTAGCCTATTAAGTGAGTACAGTTCTACCAGAGGCATGCCTCCTGAGTACCATTCGTCTCCAAACTCTCTGCCCGCGTTCCATTATCATCAACCCGTATACTCCCAAGATCATCTGTATTCGCCACATCCCACGTATAATCCTCCACCAGGCTTACGACCTGAATACCGTCTTGGTAGCCTATTAAGTGGGTACAGTTCTACCAGAGGCATGCCTCCTGAGTACCATTCATCTCCAAACTCTCTGCCCGCGTTCCATTATCATCAACCCGTATACCGATATTAGGTTCTGTCAAAGGTATGGTAACTCTTCCCACTAAAATTCAGCTTGAAAGTTTGGCTATTTAGTGATTCAATCTTTATGTGTTTCTGTAATACTGATAGTTTACATGTAGTTTGAGCTAAATTTCATTAGATGGTAGCCCTTAGTTTTCCAAAAGTTCTGTTGCTATCACTTTTGCAGAGTAGACATCTGTTCATACAGGTTTCATCTTGATCTTTATGGCTGTCAACAACTTTTACTTTCAGATCGCACCATGGAAAAATCTCTAACTTTCAGACTGCATTAACCAACAATGAATTTTTGACTGGTTTTTATGTTGTTCTTACAACTTATTATCGTCTTACTTATAACTGATATCAATATCCATTAGAGTATAATGATAAAATAGAGCAGTAGGTAGATCGATTTGATACAATCCACTTCATTGAGCAGATATGTTGGTTCTGTTCTTTATTGGATGAGTTTGATTAAGCTTGTAGGTAGATGTCGTTATAGTGACCATCCTAATTGGACAGAATTTTGGGTATTTTAAGTCTCAAAGGATTTAATAACCTAAACTACTCAGCCTTGTCATCTTCTTAACTTTTGTGTTGATTTCTGATGCAGGATTTTGCAGCTTGTTCTATAAACCCATGGAATTTACAAGTTGGATCCTTAATTACATGACCGTGAGTCAAGCTGAGCTTAGAGTGGACCTAATGGTAATTTTTTTGTTTGTTTGAAAATTCAGTATATACCATTTGTGGAAGATTGATTCTAGTTCTGAAACTTCTGGAAAAGGTAGATGAACTCAACTGTCTCACCAAATGAGAGATCATTGTTCTATTTTAATTGACATGTTTGCCAGAAGATGCTTGAGGATATTTTACAGATGAGGCTTCATTTGCTCAGAACTTTCAGTAGTATCTTATACTTTTGGCTAGTCTTCCTTTGACATGGTGATAATAGACAGTTAAGGCACTGCTATAAAAATTGTGGTCTAGGACTCACAATACAGAGACTAATGACTAAACAAAGGAGGTCTAGGCCTCAGTTCATCAGTCTGCAATCTTAACAAGATAGGAGTAACAAAAACCCTTATCACTCTAGCTACCCATGCACTTAAAAATTATTGTAAATTGTTAATTAAGAGGTAGTTTGTTTCTCAAATTGTACAGTAACATCTATTAATTTGTTGGTACAGTCTTACGCCTTACTTGAGAAAACAACCAGAGACAAATAACTTGATTTGATTATCCATGAAAGAACAGATCCTAGCTCAAGAGAGTAAATTACCATTATGTCAGTCTAATAATTGCATGTATTTATGATGAATTTATTGATTATACTATTCCTGAAGACCTCCTTGGTAGTAGAGTATTACTGGAGGGGCCAAAAAAGCACTCTTCATGACTTGCAGGTTACTTAAGATGGTAGTTGTGGTAGTTTGGCCCTGGATTGGTTATGAGTAGCATTTAGCTTAATGATGTTGGCATGTCTCAACTCTCAGGACGAAAATGCATTCAATGAAATGGTCCTAAAAGACAAAAGAGAAAATAAACAAATGGTAAACGTGGAGTTAGTACATGGGTTAGCCATTTCTGCCTGTTTACGAAAACTTACATGGTCCCAATTAAACATTTTCATGACCAAACAACCCCAATGTTGAAACCTTTCTCCAATTAGGCTTTCCCATATTAACACTCTATAAAGTATGGATCCAGATTTTTACTTTGGGGCTTTGAGAGTTTTTTAAGAAAAAAAACTTACTCCTCAAATTATATTGCTTGATTTGATATAAATATCGGGTGCATATGAATATTTTCTATTTTTGTCTCTTTAAGTTGGAGGGGGGTGTTAAAGTGAAACCGTGAAAGGGAATTCTCCATGTATTGAACTGGTCCCAAAAAACAACTCCAAACTGTGATTAGGAAGAACACTTTAAAAAAAAAAAACCTCCTTACTTTTTTCGACTCATAATTTTGCATTATAGTCTCATCAAAACGTCACCATTCCATCATATGCTTAAAATATTTACACATTTATAATGTAAGTACAAACAAATTTCTATAACAAGAATTAGTTCACAACTTAATAATAATGGTAACTAACGTGCAAAAATTGATTTTTTTTGGTAAATGCTACGAGCTCCGTTGAGTTGTGGGGCATTTTAGTTACAACTCTCAGTCAACAACTTTTAGTAACTTGCAAGCGCATCTCAGTGGGAAGGACTGGTATAGCATTTATGAAACTTGGATACACATTTCCAAATTCCAAAATAGCTTGTTATTGGTAGGCTACACCTAATACTGGCAATTGTGGTTTAATTTATCATGCAGTTGAATCCAAAAACGTTGTACTCAAATGACAAGAAATATGCTGTTTAATAATTACTACAATTTGTCCATGCATTATGATTGATGCATGTACACTAGTGGAAATATATATTCCTATCTGTTTTAATTTGTTTGTCCTAGTTAACCTTTTAGTTAGTTTAAAAAGGAATGCATCTTTTTTTCCTCACAACTCCTTCATTCTAACTTTTCACTAGATATGTTTAAGACCACAAGATTAAATGACATTTTGATACATTCAACACTTCTTTAGTTTAAAACCACAAAATTAAAAAAAAAATTAAAAAATTCTTAAACTTTTTTGAACAAATTGAAACGGAAGAAAGTATAATTATCGCCTTATCGGAGTAATTGTTATTCCAAGAGCTATATATGTAGACACGCTAGAAATTAGATAGAGAGGAGTTGGGTAAAAAGTTGAATGTTAGGTATAGTAATGTTTTAATTTGATAGCATGTTCATTCTACGAGTCAAATATATCTACCCTATCACAAAGGAATTTAATAAATACACATATATAAATTAAAAACTTTTATCTCTAAAAAGAAAAATGCATTTCATTTTAATTCAACATAACATGATGCTTTAATTATCTTTTTTTAGTAGAGTATCAATCAGTAACACTGTAGAAGATGCCATTTTAGTAGAAGCAGTACAAATGAAAGTAACAATACCTAACACCTAACATTGTACGTTGCCGTTGACACTAAGTTTAATTAAAAGACGTTAACAAAATTCCAAATACTAAAGTTGAACAACACAACAAAAAACAAATTATTTGAGGTGAACTAATTTTTAGATTAATTAATTATCTACCGAAAGATACGTCGTTCCAAACATGAAGTTACATCTTAATTACCTCAATTAACACTTTTTTCTTTTTAGGAATTGAACCCCCCAAAATTTAAATATTTGTACTTCAAAAATCAAAAGCAATAATCTTGTATGAAAAAAAAGATTAAAAATGACCAGAATAAAGCATCTCTATTTTTCAAAGGCTTGGAGAAATCAAAGTTTATCCTTACTGTCGGCTGCTCATATTTCCTTTTCCTTCTCTAAATTCTTTACTTGAAGATGACTAAATTAAAGTGCATTTGAGATTTAACTTCAAGGAACAAATTATTTCAAGTATAAAGAATAGAAATTACATCATATTCGGGAAGTTTTCCTAATTATAAAAATCTCGGATTTTTCATTGCTCTCATATACATTTCTTGGTTGCTATTACTTAATGGGAGGGATGTATACGAGAGGGGATATAGATATATCTGAGAAGAGAGAGATGTATCTGATCGAGAGGGGATATGGATGTATCAAAGAGGATATTTTTGTAATTTTTTTAAATGATAGAAAGTTTTAGAGATTATGATATTTTAAATTGTGTATTTATGTAATTTTTTATTATTTTAAAAGTAAAAGAAATTGTGTGTATACTGGAATAAGTACAAAGCTATATTAGGATTTATGTATTGAGTAGTTCAACTAACTTAATCTCAAATTACATATTTCACTATTTTAAAGTTTCTCTAACTTTTCCATTTGTATGTATTAATTAATTAGATGAATTCATGATAGACTCATGTGGTATTTAAAAAAGTCTTATTACAAGTATTTTTCGTTTACGGCTTAAGATTTTTGATGTATCTAATTTCATTCGCTCTCCAAACTTTCATCTTTCTATCTCAATATCAGTTCATCAGAGTACTTTCTTCTTTGATATTCTTTCCTTCTGCCCCTAACTCTCTACATCCAATTTTTCATATTTTTAGTTCCATTTTTTATAAGAAAAAAAATGAATATTGCATGCTCTACCTTACATATAAGGAGAAAGGAAATTCCCGTGATTGTCTCCTCCCGTTGAATATTTTATTTTTCTCAATTTTGCTTCTTCTTTTTTTATTTATAAAAAATTAAATATAAAAAATAGAGAGGGAATATTTAAAAAGACCTAATCATGACATAATTAGATTTGAGCTCATGCATTTGCAATTCGAATTGTTGCCTCTTAAAAAATAAGTTGTCCCACTATGAACTTTATCAAACTTTTTGACTTAATTTGTTTGGACTTATTTTCAAAAAATACTAAAAGCTCAGTTGATTAATGAGTCATAATTATGGTTTTACATTGCATGTAGTGCTAATATTAAACTAATTGGGGTTTTGAAATTGCACTTTTTTTAATACAATATATTTTTGTATTACAACTTTTAAAAAATAAATTCATCAAATTAGATCATGAATGCGTCTAATAATAACTTGAAGAAAGCATGAAGGAGTATAGCCTATAGTTTGGAGAGACACAATCATTAGATTTCCATGTAAATTGTCCATGAAACTTCTTCAATCCTAACCTTTCTCCTTCCTAAAAATATTACTACCTAGTTCTTCTTTTTACTCTGATTTAAAATACTTATACTTTTCTTTATGATTTTTTTAATTGATGTATCTAAAACCAACATATCTTTAATGTAAGATCACATTCAAAAAATATACTTTAATTTTATAAACTTCATTACAAAGTCAAAACAATAATAACATACTCAGTATGGTCCCACAAAATCTGATCTGGAAAGAATAGAATGTATGCAAGCTTAACCAGGTAAACAATTATTTTTGTTTATTAGTTTCCCACCTGGTGTTTGATATCCACATTGGAGTCCGACTAAATTTGAATTCGCATCGAAAAAGTGCTCCCTAACATAGGCGATTTTGTTCCCAAAGAGGCTTGAATCCGAAATCTCCGGATTAAAAATGAAGAAATAATTATTATTCTTACCACAATCCTTGTTCGTAAAGAACAAATCAAAACGAGGAGAGTATTAAAATTGAAAAGGAGTAGATAGAGAACATTGTATATCTTGTGGAGGGAAAAGTTAAAAATAATAATTTGGTCCCCAATAGAAGGCTAAACCTTAGAGCCCTGTTCCTTTGTTTTCACCTTTTACCAAAGTGCCCTGGTAGAGTGCTAGTTGTCCGTCGCGCGTGCGGCTCGAGAAATGACTTTCTCTAATGGGCCCTCTCAAAGCCCACAATGCTCTTCGCATTAGGCCCGTTAATTATGGGCTCATCCACCTGGTTCCCCTTTGCTTTTACAACATGCCAGTAAAAGTAATTATGAATGATTAAATTTGAATATAACTAAAATAAATAATAAATATTTTATCCGTTTCAAAAAAATTACTCTAAAATAGATACCACTTTTTTCTTAATCAATTTATTTCATGTGAAAAGACTCTGATTAGACAAAAAAGTGTTTTAATGGACCATACTGTAAAAATTGAAAGGAAGTAAATGCGACAGAGTTTCACGTATAAAGTAAAAAGTAATTTTAGCATTTACTATTTAAATTTTTATTTTTTTTACAAATGTATAATAAATCAATTAAAATGAAAAATACCAAAAAGTAACTCGCTATTGGAGCGTGACACACAAACAGAAGAAAAGTTAAATTATCGTTTACTGCTAAATATTGCCATTTCCAAAAAGGGATATGTAATGCTATTATAATTACATCAACTGCCACTGATTCACTTTCCTTGCTCCCTCCATAAGTAGTCCTCTCTCCCTCCACTACTTCCTCCTCATCTTCATACATTTTTCCAGTTTTTCTTTTTCCTTCTGTTTTTATCTTCTTCTTGTTTTAGTAGAAATGGGGTTTTTGAATGTGGCCTGCTGTGTTGCTTCACTTTTTTCACTAATTTTACTAACGGCTGAAGCTAGAATCCCTGGTGTTTTTACTGCCGGAGCATGGCAGAGTGCTCATGCTACTTTCTATGGCGGAAGCGACGCTTCTGGTACTATGGGTATGTTACCGTTTCCTCTATAATCTTCTACTGTCAATTCACAAACTACCTTTTTTTCTGCACATAATGTACTTGAAATGCTTCATTTCTACTCTGTTTTCGGTCTGTTTTTCTAGATTTTTCGTT